TATTGATGCTGGACTTGAACACATCAAAATGTTATCAGTGATTGGCTCATGCTGGTGAAATTCGAAGATGTGTGTGCTTTTTGTTATTGTGGGTTTTTCTGTGTAATAAAAAATTATTATTTTGACCATTTTAAATTTTTTTTAAAATATAAAAGTAGCCATAAAGCCAAGCCTGATGGCTCATACCTATAGTCTAAACTGAGACAGAGGCCAGAGAATCATTGGCCCTTACACATTCAAGAGTAATATGGTGAGATCCTTTGTGGTCAGCAACAACAACAGGGAGAGAGATGTAGCTCAGTGGTAAGATACTTGCCCAGTGTGCGCAAGCTCCTAGGCTCGATGCCCAGCACAAAACAAACAAACAAATAACAAAACTCAACCTACAATATATAAAACAGGACCTCTCATTAACCATGAGATTTCAAAGATTTTTTTTCTCAGAAAGTGAGTAAAGACATGTGTTTCAAGATCCGTTTTGAAATAAGCAAATTACTGTCTGTTTTGTTTAAATACTTGGTATATGATGTATGTGCGTGGGTGGGTGCAGATCCGTGTGTAGGCGCATCTGGCGTGCCTGTGGAGGCCAAAGGACACCTTTGATTTTGTTTTTCATAAATCATTATCCACCCTGTGTTTTGAGACAGGCTCTCTCACAGTTGCCTGTTCTAGTAGCCGAGCTGGCCAGTGCGCCCCAGGGAGCCACCTTCTCTGCCCCCAGCTCTCGACTTAGGAGCATGTGGAATCACATTCATCTTTATCATGTAGGTTCTGGGGATTAAACCCAGGACCTCACACTTGCACAGTAGGTACTTTACTAAGTTATCTCCCCAGTCTTCCAAATAGATTTAATGTAGATTTTTTTAATGTTTAAAAAATGTCATTGTGTAGAGGATACATGAGAAATCCCTGTCAACTAAAATAATTAATTAATCAAAGTAATCCAAGTTCATTGAGATGAGGCAGATGGTCCCAAGTTTGAGAACAGCCTGGGCTAAATAGTGAATAAGAGGCCAGCTTGGGCCACCCAGCAAGACTCTGCTTTGAACATAAGAGTCAAGCAATGATCACACAGCTAGAGACCCACTTACCAAGCAGAGCAGGTGACAGAACATTGCTCTAGTGCCTTTCATTGCTCAAATTCCTTCCCTGGGGGAAACTTAAACAATGGCTATCCCTGCTCCTGTGGTCCCCCACAACAAACCCAGACACATGGGGCTTACTCACAGAGCTCTGGGGGACGGGTTACAGAAAGCAGCCACAGTGGAAAGTCTTCACCCCACGTGGGTGATCGAAGACTACATAGATGCGTCCCATTCCTAGTCCTTCCCGACTTGCAGACTTCCCCAAGGCCTTGTGCAGTTAGGGCAGACCTGCATAGGGCTGGTTAGGAGGAGAGGCTGGGTACTAAGAGTGGAGGTCTTATGACCCCTTTCAGTCCCCTTTCAGTCAGGAAAGGTCAACAGTCAATAAACCTAGGCATGCCAGTCATTTGCAAGTGGGCACAGCTGAACTCAGGAAGATAGTGGAGCTTTGTCTGAGAGAATAATCCTATGTCATATGCCCCCCCCCATCCCCTTCCAGCCTCCTTTATACAATTTCCACTTTCGGGAATTCCCAAATTGTTTATGACTTCAAAGCCATTTCCGTTATGCTGTAGCTTTAAGTTTTGGAGAGATTAGATTTTATTTTCTCAACCCAGAAACATAAACAAAGACATTTGAAGTTTAGAGTCTGAGAAATGTCACACAAAGACACCCCCCCTCCCCTCACAAACTGACTTTGAGTCAACAGCACACACAGTAGTTAACAGAGAAGGCAGGGCACCAGGCACGGATCCAGGATGCGGAGAGTCACGTGAAGCTGCTCCACCCGCCTCTGATCTTCCAGGTGGTCTTGAAGAAGCTTACAGGAGGAACAAGCACCTGGACCCAGGAGCCCTGGAGGTGTAAGGTGACACACGGGGAAGCCATAGCATCTCAGGCAGGTGGCACCCAAAGCAACTAAGGCTACAGATGTCTTTGTCCTGTGCCTAGGTAATCACTCCTTTTTCCTTTCAAAGGATTTCCGGCTGTCCCAGGGGAGGAACGTCTGTGGTTATGGAGCCAGATGCCTCGCGCCTTACTTTCTGCAAATCCATGAGACTTTCGTAAGTAAACACAATAAATCTTCAGGGATAAGAACAGAGACCCAGTCACCTCGCCCTCTCATTAGCCACGCTATAGGATATGCATGCGAAGGGTACGGTGATGCTGACAACTGAAACTTCGGATCTATGAAAACCTTCAATGAGTGGCAAGTTGTCTTCAGTTTCGAGCTTTCCCTCTTCGAATTCCTAATTCTGCAATTAGCAGATAAGAATATAAAGACCAGAAGAGAAAATGCTGCTGAGAGATCATGCTGGTTGAATACATTGATCTTGGAAGAACTGTGTACCCGCCCCTGGTAGAAAAACCATCCCAGGACCTGGCTTTCCAAGGCTTGTGGCAGGTCTTAGCAGTCATTCTTGAGGAACCAGGCTGTTATTGTGATAAAGACACAGAGAGATGGCCCATCATATATGGCTGTAAGATGCTGCTTAGCACAGAGACCCTTTAAGGTCAGAGTTTAAAAGATTATTGTGTAAATAGGTTACTTCAGGAGAAAGCAGCCAGCCTCTGGGTTTCCCTCTACTTGCTGAAATGCATTCATTATTGCAGTAATTTTAGACCTTTCTCAGTTTTTTTTTTTTTTTGAGGGGGGAGTTGTGATAGTCTGAGACAGAGTTTCTCTGTGTAGGCCTAGCTGTCCTGAAACTTACTCCGTAGACCAAGCTAGTCTTGAACACAGAGATCCGCCTGCCTCTGCCTCCTGAGTGCTGGGATTAAAGGCCTGTGCCACCACTGCCCAACTTCTCGCTTACATTTTTATTTACTTTCTTGTGTGTGTGGGTAGTGGGGCTGGTGGGCGTGTCTGCCTCGGTGTGTATGTGAAAGGAGTGAGGAGAAGAGATCTGGTGCTTAACCAGGTCATCAGGCTTGGAGGCTCATGCTCTACCTACTGAGCCAGGTTCCCGGTCCCACTTCTCCAGTCTGGATGCGTGTGTCTGTCCACTGGTCTAGTGCTACAGTTATTTCCATTGGCTCTACTCTCACTGTTCCCATCTCCAGCAACCACACAGCCCTGGCAGACAGGCGGGCTGAAATGATAGCCTTGTGGAAAACTGGATGTTCAACAAATTCCCAGTAAATGTATCCAGACCTGGGGGCCTGGCTGCAGCGGCATTTACCTAGACTGAGGCAAGTGACTGCTTGAGCTCAGGAGTGTGGGACTAACCTGGACAACACGGCAAAGACCCCCACCCCCATCTTCTTTAAAACGGAAAGAAAAACAACAGCCAAAGTCAGTCTGGTATATTTAGATGAGTTCACAAATGCTTTCTAATCTTCAAAGTCTCAAAGAAAAATCAAAACTCACGGGATGGTTGGTCTGGACCGTGCTGCATGCTTGTAATACCAGCACTTGGGGGAGGGGCTAAGGGAAGAGGATCAGAGAACTTCAAGGCCAGGCTGGGCTACATGAGACATTGTCTCAAAAAAAGCCGAAAATAAAGTCAAAACATAAGTGAGCACTCGTGATAGGGGAGCAGTTGTGTGGCCCTGAGCATGCTGGGAATTCTAGTGAAACCGCCATGCCCTTCACTGGAGGCCTTCCCCTTGAATCTTCTTTACAGGTTGTAAGCAGTCTTACTGAGACGGTAGCAAATGCGGGTTTCCAAGCGGAAGCAATCTAGGACAAGACACTGAGTGGGTAGGGCCTTGACCTCCCCTCCCGCCATGGGTGTGGCTAACTCATGCAGGGTTCCCAGCAGAGAGAAGCCAGCAGAAGGCTGGAAGAGCTTCCTGGCCCAAGTCCTCTCCACCTGGACTTTGCAACCTGAGCAAGAGTCTGAGCTCTTTCACCCTGCCCTTCCCCCACCAGCACTGTGACCGTGTAAGACAGTTCGCCCAATCAGTAACAACAGACACGAACAAAGACCAGAGGGACATGAAGAACAAGTCCTGATGAGGGCCAGCCTGGGTCTGTGCTCTGACCACTGAGCCAACACGAGGCTGTGTGGAGCCACACTGAAGCAGACAAGAATGTGGAGGAACCAACAAAGCTGGTTTCTTGGGAAGGCTGGTATCATCACTCCTGGACGGAACCAGGCCCATCCTTTTCCCAGCCTAAAGGGATTCTCCCAATCTCAATCTCTCTCTCTCTCTCTCTCTCTCTCTCTCTCTCTCTCTCTCTCTCTCTCTCTCTCTGCCCCTCCCCCCCAACCCTTAGTTTTTACTTCTGGCATGTTGAAGTGTTGTATGACGTTGGTTGGTCCTCACTCCTGACACATACCCTTTTCTCTCTCTTGCCTGTTAGTATTAGCTTCTCTCTGTTGCAATGAGGCTTTGAAAGACAGCCTGGGAACAAGTCAAGGTAGAAAACAGCCAAGAGCAAACAGTTTAGAGTTTTAGCTCCTGGTGGAGAGACACCCTGTCAGCCTGTCCCACTCACCTTTATAAATCCCACAGAGCTGTGTAAAGTATGTGTTGAATAATCAGATCCAGTCGTGACAATATGTTAAATCCACTGGCTCTTAAAAGAAGCTGTTTCTAGATTGTTTACATAAATGTTTGTTTTGTAAACTTAAATTTACACACACATACACAGAGTCATTTTTCTCATGTTTTCTGATTTGATTTCCCAGTTTCACCCTTTAGGTATGGGCTGAAAAGGCCATGTAGTTGTAAAAGCTCATAAAAACAATTATTCTGTCTTTTTGATTTTTTTTTTAAATAGGAGTGTGGGCACTTGAATAACAGACATGAGGTCCTCAGAGAAATGGAGAAAGATAGACAGAGAAAGAGATTGATTTCAGCAGAGTTGTAAAGTTAGACTACGACGATTTGATTTACAACAAAAGGATTTGACAGTCTCAGAGCTCATTGTGTAAGGACATCAGGAATGATAAGCTTGACGCAATATGATAACACAACAATCTGCTGGTCTTTTAATGCAGGAAAATAACCAGAAAATAACACAAAAATACTCTTAAGAAATACAGCATCACACATGAAAACATTTCCATAAAATGTAATCTCTGCGCGGACACTGAACTTCTCAGTCCTCTTTGGATTGACATTCATGATTTATACATTCTCCTGGGGGTACAGAGTCACCTTCAGCCAGGGACCTGCAACGATCAGCCTCTTCCTGAGAACTGAACGAGACACTTCCTGTTAGACATTCAGTACTTCAAGGCTAATATTTAATCTTAATTGGCAAAAAGTTTAGTGCAAATAAAGTTATACTTAGCAGCTTAACAAAGTTCTGATGCTTTTAACCCTTAACGCTTCCCCAGAGTGAATCCAGCTCTTTCCCCGAGTACCAGCTTTGACCTTCTGACGTGCTGAAAGCTGTCAGAGATGACCCTGTTTGCCACACATGGAGTTTTCCCCTGCAGGACGAAGAATTTCAGTCATTACACAAATGAATCAAAATTCTTTTACACCTGGGAAGCTCACTTTGATTTAGTACAAAAACGAACAGCAAAAACAAACAGAAAACAAAACAGAGTCTGAAGGTTGTCCTTTCTCTAGGGAGCGGAGTCACGATCATTCCTGAATGTCACTCATCTGCTTCTCCGGCCAATGGCAGTGACAGCCAGAGAAGACAGTCAACAGTTTACACCAAGCCCTGCAGACGATGCTCACAGCAAGGCTCAGGACTGAGGAAACCTCTTCAATCAAATCCTACACTCTCCAGTAACAATTCTATTTCATTGGTTGGAATTGCCAAAAGACACATAAAGGAAACGAAGGGGCGCCATCTGACTTCCAACCTGGTGCTTTCCACTCAGCCAAGATTGATTCTAGAGATGAATAGATGCCAAAGAACTTCCAGCCAGAGAACAGTGTGAGCCATGGCAGTCCCGAGAATTGCCTCCCTTTGACACATCTGTTCCCTTTCTAGTAAGGCCTGGCTGGCACTGCCTCAGAAAATACTTCTTGTGCCCTGACCCCTGGCTGGCTTGGGAGCGAGAGGGATCCTTCACAGGCTTGAATGCCTGGATCAGCTTCAGTCTACAGTTCACATTCTAAACATATGAGCTTTCAAGAAATTGAGATGACCCTTGAGGAAACCATTTCCCTGGTCCTCAATCTTTACCAACTCCTAACAGTTTCTGTTTCCCTTGGGTTCTCTACACCTACTTAGTAGCTTGGGGTGTATGCGTGTGCGTGTGTGTATGCGTACCTCTCTTGCAGAGAAAAGTCCACCTCAGTCACTATACTCTTCTCTCTCCTTTGGGGTGTGGAATTTCTCATATTGGCTGGCCAATTTCCATTTGTTGTGCTGAGTTTTGAGCAAAGCAGCCAAGGAAGTCTTCCGGGTGACATTTCTAGACACTTCCCGGCTCTTGCCCTTCCTGGCTGGGGAAGGGCTTTGGACTAAGGAATAGACAGGAAAGATAGGTTTGCCCCGGGGTGCACCCAGGAGCTGCCACGTTTCCCCAGAGACATTACTTTTCAGATACTGCCACGGTTTCTTACCACTACAGTCCCGAATGTTCACCCGAGAAGCCAATCTTTGCACCAGCAATTTGATGACTCCCTGGTGCCCATGAATAGCTGCCAGGTGCAGTGGGGTATAGCCACAACTGGATCTCACGTTTACATCGAGTGCAATCCCTGCCTTCTGGGCTCCAGAGACCAAGTCCTGAAGGGCACTCAGGTCACCGTGCTTTGCTATCCAGTGCAAGGCCGTGTACCCCGTCAGGAAGTCTCTGTGCAAAGCCAGCTGGGGGTCCTCCCAGAATAAAGTTAGCACGTGAAACCAGGAGCCACTGGCAAGCCTCACAATCCACTCATGCTCCCTGACATCTAGAGGGACAAGGGGAGACCTGTGCTCAGAAGGTCTGTGGGGTACCAAGGCTGCAGATCCATCCTTGCTGGGGACCCATGAGGAGTGTGGCTGACTGGCCACAGCATTAGCATCTGCCAATTTCTGTACCAAAACAACATCCACCCTTGGGCTCGGCAGGGCTCCTGCCTTGGAAGGTTTCCTAGACCGAGGTGGGCGCCGGCTCCTTTTCAACAAGTCCTCATCAAGAGGCTCCTCATCTGAGGAAGAGGGAGATTTGGTTCTCCCTGTTCGAGAGCTCCTCCTGACAGACCTCCGGAACTTGGGGGCAGGGAAGGGCTCCTGGTGGTGGTCTCCAAGGCTTTTAGCCACCGTTGGGACCTTCCGAAAACTGGGCGCATTCCCTCTATTCCTGAGGCCCCGCCGGATCAGCCAGGGGCTGCCTTCGTTTGGTGACACAAACAGATCCTCCACTGGATCCCTGAGTTCACCCCAAGAGGAAGTCCTCAAGACAGGTTGCAGCCCCTCTTCCGGGGTCCCAGGAGATTCTTTGGGTCCACTGCTGCTCTCCTCGCTGCCATGGCTCTCTTGATCCACAAAGTCATCCAGATCCTGGAGGGACAGCTGACAACGAATGCTTCGAAAGACAGAAGGTGGAGGATTCCCCGGCCAGGATTCTGAGGACTCATCAGGAACCACAGGAAGGAGAGAATGAAAAGATAGAGCGGGCTCTGGCAGCGCCGAGTTGGTCTCCGAGACCCCAAAGGTGGCTTCTGAAGATAGCTGGAGGAAGTTGTCTGGCACTACTGACCAGGCGCGAGTGGGGCCCTGGATCCCGGGCTCAGGCACCTGCGGGCATCTGGCTACCCACTCTCGAGTGCGCTGCTGCTGCTGCAGCTGCTGGGTTGAATGGATTGGGGAGCCGACAGTAAACAGCTCCAGCAGCTCTCTGGAGGGAGCCTGGTAGGGCGGGAGAGCGGGCGGGGACGTCGGGCTGCCAGCAGCCTCGACGACCGCCGGAGGCCAGACAGGCGTTACAGACACAGGCGCGCGCTCCGCCGCCGCTCCTTCCCGCAGCCACCCCGGAGCTCCGAGGTCATCCCGGACAGGCGCAACGCGCTCCGGCTTCTCCCAGGCGGCTACAGGGTCTCCGACATCTTCTGGAAGCGGCTGTCCCGTGGGCTGTCCCCAGCCGTTCTGCTGGCACTCCCAGCAGCAGCGTCCCCGCGTCCCCACCGCCGCACACCTGCCTCTGGTTTGGGCAGCCTCTGGCCCCGGTGTCCTCTGGCTCGGGCTGTCTCCTGGGTTGGGGTCTGGCTCGGCCTCCTTCCGCGCGCTGCTGCCCACTAGCTCATCGTCACCTACGTCCACCCGGGTCCCCGCACCTGCCGGCGGCTTCTGTGGCTCCGGGTCACGGCAGCGGTGGCTCCGCGGCTGTCCGTCTGCGGGGGCGGGTCGCTGCAGGCCCTCCTCCCCCAGCAGGTCCCTGTACCTCCTCTTGAGCACCACGTACTTTGTGCCGTCGGGGTCCTGGCGCACTGCGGCCACCGAGTTCACGAAGCCCTTGAAGAGCTCGCGACGCTCCTGCAGCTGGCCGGGAGGCACGTGAGGGTCGCGCAGGAAGCCCTTGAAGTGGCTCAGCAGCTCTGCGTTACGCACGCGGCCCCCGGCCTGGCACAGAAAGTCCAGCAGTGCCTCCTGGCTCAGCTCTCCGGCCATCGCTGCCGGTTCCCTAGTCCCTAGGGCGGCTGCTTCTCGAGCTCCCAGCACGCTTCCCCTCCGACCGAAACCCAGGCCTGGCGAGTGTCACCTGCGCCCGGGGTGGCGCCACCCGCCTCCATCAGCCGCGGAGGCCGGCGCCGCCCGCATCCCCAGGGCGCTCCCGGAGGGCCGAGGGTCCCTAGGGGCGGGTGCCCAGGCAGAGTCCTGGCGCGCAACCCTGGTGGCAGAGGGCGGCTCCGGGGCCGCCCCTGAACGACGCTGGCCTGTCGCAGCGAGTCCCCGCAGCGAAAGTTCCCGGGATAGGTCGGAGTCGGTTTCACCTGCGCACCGGCTACGCCTCCTCCTAGACTCTGGGGGAAGGGCTCAGCCCGCCTCCTGTGCCTCCGCCCTCTGAAGTATCCCCCAACCCCCGCCACCGGTCCCGGGTGAGTCAGGCTGGTCACTGTAGAGGACAGCGTAGGGAGGTGAGGCCGGGGGCGAACTGAGCTGAAGGCGAACGGCTCTCCGGGGCGCGCAGCCACCCAGGGGCCTGGGAGGTGTCTGGCAGGTAGGCTACCGATTGTCCCTCAGAGTGCCCGCCACGCTAGAAACAAAAACAGAGGGACATCGGCTCCCTCCGTCTCTCCCCGAGGCACGAATTACAGCCAGAGTCCACACGGGTAGGGGTCCAATAGACAGGCGCCCCACAGTTTCTCTTTATTAGCTCGGTCTGGGGAGGGGATTGGGCGTTCTCAATCGCAGAATTCGGCGGGATCCGGAAAAGCCCACCTAGATCCAAACCAAATCTCTCTTAGTTTGGAGATAACGAGATACTGAGAAGGGCGCTCCCAGGGTACTCGCTTCAAGGAGTTTAAACACACCTGCCTAAGTCTGTGCTGAGTGAAATCACTCCGAAAGCTACAGACCAAGGTCGGGTTTTGCCTTTCATTTTCCTACATCCTTGTCTGAGGTTAAAATGCTCAGTGCCAGAGGGTTTGGGGGGAGGATTTGCTGTCAGAGAGTTCATTTCCTAGGAAGCCAAAATCCATAGAATGATCTCCTCGCTAAGGTATTTGATACCCAGAGCTATTTTTTTTATTATTTAGTCTAAGATTTGTGAACAGAAGAGATTCGCTCCATCTGTTTCACGTTGACTTCTTAGTGAAGTTTTCGCTTTCAGAATGGAAGTTTTTCTCCACACAGTTAAAATGTTGAACACGTGACAAGGGTTTGATTCCACCCCAGGAAGGGGGGATGCTATACTCTCTTAGTCTGTTGAAGGGCTGTTGAGTCCACCCTGATTCAAGGATTTCTTTAGCCTCCTTTGAAGAGGGAAGAGTTAATCCACACAGCACACTTCATCGATAACAGCCCTACACTTCTGTCTGGTGTGGTGCCTCTCTTTCTTATCTTGAGTCGATTTCCATGCTTTCAACAGTGTCTACCCATTGTAGCCTCAAGCCCCTCGTCCTCAGCACAGCCTTCCCTCCCCACCTTTCCCTAACCGCCTTCGCAAATGCCTGTGTCTTTGCATCCTTTCTTGACTGTCACGTTTCTAGCATACGTTCTCTATTTTTCCTCTCCTGGCATTTGACGCCCTTTCTCCTGTTCTCTGTTTTTTACTTTGCTTTACAGCTCCAGATTTTTCACTAAGAATTTCTGGAGTATGTTGGTCCTGCAATTGTCAACATGTTTTAGTTGACAATTTATTCCCCTTTATTCCCCACCCCAGAACTGGGGATCGAACCCGGGTACTCATTTGTGCTAGGCTGATCAGTCTGTCTGTCAGACAGGCCACATCAGCAGTGCTTTATTTAAAATCGCAACAGAACCCTGGTACTTTTCCATGAATGATTTGGAATCCTTGGCTTTAAATTATCTAGGTCAGAAAGAAGGACTGTTTGTCTATTTGGGGCAGTTTCTAGAATTGAAATCTGGAGAAACTGTTCCCACTCCATATAACTTTGAGGCCTTAAAGAAGTTATTAAAATAAATGTTTTTATATAAAACTTCAGCTCATGCTTGTATTTATTTACTGGTGTTGAGTCTTGGTGAGATTCACAAGTGTGGGAGGGGGTCCGAATGGAAACCTCAGGTGGGCAAGTCAGGAGAATCCCTCTGTGGTACCTTGCACAAGTGACCAAGAGGTAGAATGAGGATGAGAGAAAGGGGACGGTGCCAAAGGTTTTGACACCATCCAGCTTCAATTGAGGGTTGAATTACCAGGTCTACAGTTGTTTCGGTGGCTGGACACCCAAGTGGTTTGGTATCCTCTTGCTTGTCCTAGGGTAAGGGAATGGTTAGGTGGAAGGTTCTACATCTTATATAAGGGGCACCTTCTTGCCTCCCTCATATTTAGCTCATTATTTTTAAAGGCTTTTTTTCTACATTGCTGGGCATTGCTATGGTTTTATGTAAAGAAGGATCTCTGTTAGGGAACTCTGTTGGTAGCAAAAGACCAGAGAAATGGCATGGGTTAGCATGCTACTTGATTTAGGAATGGCACTGGCCACAAGCTGGGGTTGTTGGATACATGAAGGAAGACCTCAGCTTCAGCTCAGGGTGAGGAGGACTTTGCATTTAAAAAAAAAAAAAAGTTATGCCATTAGGGCAGAAGACACTTCTGTGAAGAGGGCTCTGGCTTCACTTAAGTATTTTGGGAGCTAGCTGCAAATACAGCAGCTTGGCTTTAAGGTAGAGGGGTGCAGCTGTGTAGGAGGGGGTGCAGAGGAAGAAGGGTTAGAGAGGGGGGACTAGGGAGTCCCTCATCCCAAGCCAGAGCCTTTTAAGAATTCCCCAGAGAGTCTCAATCAGATCAGATTTCATTTGAAAAACATCTGGGGGTAAATGCTGATTTAGAATTATGGGTAAAAAGAATATGTATCAGAGTGAGTAGAAAAGAACATAAACACAGCAGTGTTGTATCCAATCATGTTTAAGACTGCGCTTCTATTTCAGAGATGTTAAAATGTAAAAAGAAGTACCTCTTAAAATACAGGAAAACATTGCCAAATAATGAATGAATGAATGAATGAATAAATAAATAAATAAATAAATAGATAAATAAATATAAATAAATAATGCTGGGAGTGGCGGTGCATCCCTTTGATCCCTGCACTCAGAAGGAAGAGGCAGACGAATCTCTGTGAATTCATTCCAGGCCAGCCTAGAATACATAGCAGAACTTCAGACGTGCCAAGGCTTGTGTCTTTGTAGTATTGGGACTCAGATAGGACTGCCTGAGGGTAATGAAACTTGAGTCCGTCCACTAGCCTTATACCTATGGGACTACATGAGACTGTGTTACTCTTTCATTTAAAAAGACACTTAAGAAAGTAAGGAGGCTGTATATGGTGGTGCATCTCATTCACCCAGGGGACAGGAGCAGGAGAACTGTGAATGAAGACCACCCGAAGTTAAACAGTGAGACCACATCTCCAAAAGGAAAAAGAATATGAGGGGAAGGGGAGGTGAAGCTTCAACCAAAGGAAGAGTCCAAATGCTGCTGAGACCATGCAGGAAAGAGATTTTTTTGTTTTTTTTTTGTTGTTGTTGTTGTTGTTTTAAAAAAAGGTTTGAGTTCAAGAGAAGCTGAGAAAGGGAGATGAACAGATGGATTCAAGAGATATTCAGAAGGTGAATTCAATAGGACCTGGGACCAGAGTCAGCCGGGGATGAGGAGCCAGCTTGGCAAGCTCCTGAGTAGCTGAGAGAGGTTTGGCATTATCTCTCCCTCCATTGGAGAGAAAATTGAGAAAAGGTAGTTTGTGGAAATATATAAAGATGGCAAATTCAACATGGGGCATATTACATCTGAATAGAGATATCTAGAGGATAGTTGGCAATATAAATTTAGGTCACCAATGGCATGCCATTCATGTCTACAAATGGTCATTTAAAGCACAGGAGAGGAAATCGCTTAAAAACAAACAAACAAACAAACAAACAATGTACAGGCAGGAGGGCAGGTACAAAAGACCAAAATGGCAATTTCCAGAGAGATAGAGGAAAGGCCCCTGTGGGGACTTGGAAGGGACCCCAAGAGGAACACCTGTGTCTCAGAAGAGCAGGATCCAGAGGGACAGCTTTCTAGAGACACTGCCAAGGCTGATAAGAAGGAAACAGAACTAGAGCTGGCAGGTCACTGGGGCTGATCTGGAACAGTGTCAGACAGTGGCAGGGACTGAAGCCAGTCACACAGAAACCTGAGGGGCAGGTGGGGGAGAGAGTGTAGGGAGGAGACTCACCCACTCATCCCTAGATATAAGGAAAGATGGGAGACTTAGATACAGAAAATATCATCAAACCATGGAAGCGAGTTTTCTTCTTTTAGGGCAGGATATGATCCCGCATGTGTGCTGAGGGTGGCACCAAGGAAGGCTAAGCAAGGACCCAGAAGTGACGAGTGGACACAGGAGGAGGTAGGGGTGGCCTGGGAGCCCAGAGTTCATGGAAAGGAGAGCTTGTTAATCTAATTTGAAGATTCTCTTTTTAATCTGATTTTAATTATATTAATCTTCATCAACCAGATTTTAAATAGGCCACTTCTCATAAAGTAAACATAAAGGTAACACCAAACTTACAATCCAAGAGACAAGCCCAAGGGGACAGACACCTGTACATAGCATGAGCCTTGAGCAACTTCCAAAGCCAAAATTGTGGAAAAGAACATTTGAAATAGAATTTGGCATCCCCTATCTTTAATATTAAGCTTGTGGTACTGGCTGATTATAGCGTAAGAATTGTGGTTAGCAATAACTTAAGAATTGTTTGGCTTTGTATAATTCCTTTTATAATGTATACTCCTGTTTGTGTAATTCACATAATATTAATTCACATATTGAGTAGCTTTTCACTGCTGTGACAAACACCTAAGAAGATAACTAAAGAGAGGAAAGTTTCCTTTTTGGCTTGTGGTTTCAGAGCGTGTGGTACATGACTGCTGGGGCCTCTGGCTTTGGGCCTGAGACAGGGCTGAATGTCATGGGGGGAAGCACACTGTGGAGCAAATATGATTA